ATATCTTTACATGACAGTTTAATTTAATTAATTTATTTTTCAATATGTGCTTTTATGGAGTTTCTCCATTAAGCGTTTGAAAGGTCTGTAGGACCTGTGCATTAATGTAAATGCACCGTGCCCCATAATTACCTCTGGCAGGCTCAGGGCACTGATAAAAAGATTGTATTTTTAAAAACTGAGGTCTTCGAACTTCTCCAGTGCTTGGCAGGAAATCTATTCCTGTGTTTTGTTTGGAGAAAGACCGGGGAGCCTGCAGCCAGCAACTCCAGTGTAGGCAGAAACTGTTACATTTTAGAAGAAAATACATTTGACACCAAATGAGAGAAAGAGAGAGGAAGACAATTAGTGCCAGAGTACTAGAAGCAGCTGTTTATTTGTTTTGCCTTGTGGCTGCCAATAGATACTCTTATCATGGAAGTGCATCTCAAAATGGGGTGTTTTCTGCAGAATTACAAAACACAGAGCTTTGTCTTTTTAAGGGGCTGCCCCAAAGTGAGTTTATCTTCCTTTTTCACAATAGCTCTGCGATAGCCAAGAATGCTGGATTCTCCCCTTTCCTTCTCCTCCTCCCTCCTTTCTAAAAATGAACTTTTCAGGGATATGAAGAACTCAGAGAAGTTTGAAGGAGAGCAGATGGCCAGCAGTGATCCAAGAGGATGTAAAACTTTAGTTAGGTAGTCGCTTGGCAGTCAAGTGCGAGTGAGCCTGTGATGTTTCCATAGTGATTTTTTACACGGTGCCTTACTTTGTTTTCTAGAAATCTAAGCGATAAAAATAGGAGGAAAACATAAAATGAGGGGCTCTGTAGACTTAAATGCTTGGCGCAGTGTAATTAACTCTGCCCTTCCCTGTCAGTTCAGCTGGTGAACCAGGGCAGCAGCTCGGGCTCCGCAGCACTTTCTGGCTGAGGAGCAGCACCACGACCTGAGCTGTGCTTACCCTTGCCAACCTCAGCTCATGTGGTGCTTGTGTGAACTGCTTGAGGTGCTGGGGCCATTTATGAAACAATGAAATGATTCAGATCCTGGTGCTTTTGGGAAGAATTATTCAGTCACTGATTTTTTTGGCGTCAGGATTTCACACATATATGGTGGAAGATTTGTTGGGGCACTTCTGTAATCTTCATAGCTTTCTCTACATAAAAGGAAGCAGCGCAATAAATACTGACACGACTTTGATTCTGACTTTCTCCTTTTGAATTCTGAGATGTAGCCATTAAAGCTGCAGTAGTTTGTGCCATAATCAGTGCAGACATACTAGTGAGGGAAACAAGATTTGTTGGGAGAGGCAATATCTATTATTAAGCCACATGATACAGCTGGAAAAAAACAGGCATGCATTGAAGCAACTGGCTGTAAGGACACTGATTTTAATGGCTTACCATCTTTTTTTCACGCACCCATTGAAAGAAAGTAAAATAAGAACATGGCTCTATAAACCTGTACGTATCTACACCTGCCATGGCAGGAGGCTTGGAACTGGATGATCTTTAAGGTCCCTTCCTACCCAAGCCATTTGGTGATTCTGTGGTACACCATTTCCCTCCAAACCCTATGGATGCATGTTGCAGGGGAGCAGATTGGCCTGGCCGCAGCACGTAGAGCTGTCAGGGGATGGAGTGTCCCCACTGCAGCTGTGTTGCTGTGGCTGCAATCACTGTTTGGAACAGGGGACTCCCAGTGAGAAGCAGCTTGCTACTGTTGGAGTGCTCTGCAATAGGGGAACCGTCATTCGTGTTCTCCACGTACAAATCCCTGAGCAAACTCCCACCAATGCTGCTGTACAAGCAAATGAAGAGGTTTAGCCTGGAAACAAAATTACCTAACCGCCTTCCCAGTTCTGGCCTCACGGCTAAGCTCAGTTACTCAGCTAGGAAACCCTTCACTCGTGCAATGACCAGTCTGTTACTACTAACCTTGAGTCTGCAGATAGCAAATAAGTGTTTTTCTAAGAAATCCATCCACTCTGCAACATATTTCCAGACATGTTGTGCAGCACTTATACTGGCAGCAGCAGTCTGAATGAATCACTCAGAACGGTACCTGGCAAGTGCACTTTTTAATATTTAAATGTGTTTATCCTGTCAGCGAGCTCCGTCAGGATGTCTGAGCTGCCACTGACAACAGGGTGGGCTGAAAGCTCTCTGCAACGGTTGCAACAAAACCTTGATTACTTACACTGTAGGACACTTCAGTGGCATTTCCACCACTGAGAAGATCTGCCAGCTTTGGCGTGGGCAGCTGCAGCTTGCGGATTTTTAACTATGGGTTTGCACGGTTCTTGTGGAGCTGTTGTTCTGCACAGCAGAGGGCAGTTTGGGAAAAGACTTGCAACGGGTTGAAGCTGGGTCAAGTATATCACAGAACTATTAAGGATGGAAAAGATCAGTAAGAGCATCTAGTCCAAGCATCAGCCGATTCCCATCATGCCCACTAACCATTTCCCTCAGAGCCACATCCACACATTTCTAGAACGTCTCCAAGGATGGTGACTCCACCACCTTCCTGGGCAGCCTGTGCCAGTGACTCACTGCGTTTTCTGAGAAGAAACGTTTCCTAATATTGGACATGAACCTCCCCTGGCACAACGTGAGGCCATTACCTCTCACCCTATCTTTATGGGGTGTTAGACCAAGTGCAGCACAGCTGTGCTGAAGAAACGTGCCTCCTTCCCCATCTTGCTGGGCATTTTTTCCATTTTGTGCCACTTTTTCATTCTTCCTGTATTCTGAAAGCAGTATGCTCCATATAGCTGAGGAATAGCAGTGATCAGGAGTCTCTATCTTCCCATATTTCTGCTGCTGCTGCTAGAATGCCAGTTGCTATAGATAAGCCACAATGAGCCTAATGAAACAGCAATCTGGCATTAAGATGTGTATATAGTTGCCATTTGTTAAATTGACAGGTGACATTTGGAACATGCAGCCCCTACTCATTTTTGAAGCTAACTACTCTCTCAAAATAAAGTCTTTGCCATTAGTCTTAAAGATTTCCAGTCCAGACAGGGCCAGCTGTGCTTTTACACATTTTCTGGGCACAAGGTTGGATTTCAAGCAGCTATAATTTCTTGTTGCAATGCACTGGACAATTCAAGAACAACAAACAATTACCTGCCTCACATATTACCTTGGGCATTTTTTTTTTTCCTCTTTTCCATGTAGGATTATTTATTCAACAAAAACCAGAGGGTTTTGACAAACAATTTTTAATCAATCTGAATTTCATCCTCTGCAACCTACCTCCACTCTTCTGCATTTTTATATTTCTATAGTAAGATGACACCAATAGGAAATCTCTGAACACCTTCAGCAATAGTTTGAAATTCATTTTTGAGCAGCAGAGACTCACCCTCACCTTTCCGAGAGACAAATACCTCAGATACATTGCTTTTCAGGACCAGTTAAGAGTGTGAGTGGTCTGAGCTCATCCAACAGAAAAGCACAGAAATCACAATCAGGACTTGACATTCCTTTACACCTTTGAATTGCTGTCAACACCTTCAGTACTATCAATAACCTCTATTTCCAGACCCAGAAATACTCAGAAGAAACAGGTGCCTGCATTTTATCAAAGTTGTACTCTCACACAAGCACTTGGCTGTTACCTCGTATGCTTCTTTATCAATTTTATTGTCCAGAGAACTCATCCAACTGTTGCTTATTTAATGCATTTTCAAAGTTACTCTATTTTAACACTAGGATGTCATTCCACTACTGCTAAGCTGCCACTTCAGCTTATTTTTGCATGTAAAAGAGCAAAAAATGAGCCTTCTTATATGCAGAAAAGCTGATACCAGATGGCTACTATTGACTCAAGAGAGAGAAGCACCTTCCACGGGTATATGCCAGGCATATGAGCATAGAAGATAGCATAGTTTGTCTCATGTCTTTTCTCTGACTGAGCCAAGGTCGGCAAAAGGTAATTTCTCTTGACAGATGCTTTCTCCAGCAGCTAAGGCAACAGCAGCCAAAAGTGTGGCCAGCAACCCTCACACTGCATCAGATTTGCCAAGAGTCACATCCACACAGGAACCGCAAGAGGAGCAAGAGCCTGCAGAATGTTTGAGTCAGGGATGTTTTCTTTCTTCAAGCTTAAAAAAACCAGTCTTCCATGATTTACATATGAATTGCTTCTAATGAGGACACACGAGCTCAATTTTCCAGCAGACTTTCAACAAGGCCAAAATTAAGGATACAATTACATGGCAGAATACTAGACTGAGATCTTCATGGTTTTTATGTCAACAGTGAAGTCAGCCACTGCTGGTGGGTGGGAAGCAGCCCTCTTTAGGGCTGTTGAGCTGGTTGATTTTCTGATTACTTCAGAGAATTTTAAAAATAGCAAATTATAATAACAGGCCATAACTCTGAACAGCTCTCTGATTAATGTGAACCTCGAGACATATGCTAAATTCTTGTCCATAAGGTATGCTGTTCAGAATTTTTCTAGATGCTATTTTAACCTGCCTTCTGAGTCACATTAGTCAAAAGAATTGGCCTGTAATTTAATTATTGCAAATGGTGCATCAATGAGTTATTTCCTAGGAAAGAGGGTTAAGAAAACCCAACACTGCAATTAATGCTGAAATGCAACCCTTTCTCTTTGGCCTTTTGAAAATTTTTCCACACGAAAGGAGCCAAGTAAGACTGAAGGAGTTTTGAAAATTCTATTACCAAGTCATCTTCACCCAGAGCTTTCCCAGAGACCAGAGATTTAATAGCTCCTTTTTTATTTCTTCCTCTGCTATGGGACTACCTAACTGTCTCTAATTTCCTGCAGAATTATAGGTATTTCCAATTTACTTAAGAGACCTTGAGTCTGTTCAGCTGTGCAAACGACTCAGATTAGTTACAGGATTTCAGAATTCAAAGGAGACATCATTAAAGTCCGCAGGGTTTGTAGCTCGTACAACAGATGACCGTACACAAAAATAGCATAACACCCTGTGCTTTCCTTCCTGAACTGTACTGCCACAAGTTCCCAGACATTTCCTCATGGCTCTTAATTTCTATGCTTTTCCACCATTTTGTAAGCCAAAGATTCTCTACTTCTGCTTCCCATAGAAATATAAGTACAAAGGGGTTGCACTCTTGAGACCCTCACAATACCGCTTCCTCTTTACCATACAGTTTGGTAATTCAGAACTGTAACATTTGGAACCTACGCAGATGAATCAACAAAATCAGCAACACTAAGGATTCTCCTTGGGATTCTGAGACTATTCCGCTCTAAGGCAAGGAACATGGAAAGGTTTTAAAGCCTTTTTAAGTGTTCAAAAGCACTGGGAGGTGAAAAGAACTGCAAGTTTTGGGATCCACTATATCAGGTTTCCTTCTGTGCTACCAACTTTTAGCTCCTCTGTGTATCATAAAGGAACTCTGCTTTGGGCCAGTCACAGCCTGCAAACGAAATGCAAGGCTTACTGAACACGCTAGTGGCACGGACTGTAGTCTGCTCATGTGTGACTCATGCACACCACCTAGGAGAGACCCTGGACATTTCTCTTCAGACATCTTTCAGAGCATAGCCTGCAGCCATGCTGGACACAAAAGCTGTATAGATAGTGCACAACATTTGAACTCATGGATGAACTGAGATTCCTCTTGCAGACAGTTTGGCTGCACCATGTGAGACACCTGAGACACTTGGTTGAACTAGGCTACCATTGTCTTTACACTTTTCAAGGAGTGCTTTCCAGGGATAGCATTTCATGCAATTTCAGGATACTTCAGTTTGGCCTACAGAATGTGCTTATTTTCTTCCAACAAAAGAAAAACGAGAGAAATAAAGGAGACTAGGAAAAAATGGCCCAGAAAGAAAAAAAAATTAAATAAACCCAAAAGATACGGCAAAATCAATGTACCATACATGCAAAACACTAACATACAACATCATTAAAGCTCTGATCCTGTGAAAAGTGTGGGGCACACTTGGCAGCCTGTTTTGCTTACAGTCCTATTTCCAATATATCTGTCTCCTAGTTTCCTTCTGTAAAAACTATGTGTTAGGCTGGTTGGTTTTTTTTTTTGGTTGGTTGGTTGGTTTTTTAATTAATTACTTTGAGGAAGAGGCAAGAGGAATGAACGTAGTGGAATTACAGGAAAAAAAGATAACGCGATCTGATTTAATTTTAAAAATGACAGATGTAATCGTGGAAGATGTTGGAGGTCAGGTTACTGCATTTCAGCTCTTCTGGAGGGAGAACAAAGGGACTGAACTCATTCTACCCTTTACAACAGGCTGTAGCAGACTATCTCTACTCAAAGCAGAGAGCAAGATAAAAGGAGACACAAGAAGAAGAATTATAAATAGCCACACAACCTTAATACTCTACTGATCTTTGCAGTAGTCCATTTTTAATTCATTCTGCATTTGGAGAGACTCAAAGTATGGTATGCCAAAGTTTGAGCTTGGAATGGAGGCAGTTGTTGTGCTGTGTAAGACCCAGCTATTAAAAAAATATGTCTAGTATACTCTATTCTTCAACAGTTCTAGCCACTTTCTAGACACCTGTGAACCAATGCTTGTATTGGCAAGATTCTCCACTCCAGGTAGACTCACAGTGGGAGATCTCATCTGTAAAAACACTTTTTCTCTCCATCGAGCCCCTTCTTCTCTCTTCCCCTACAGGTCCCACTGTACCCCACTGAAATCACATACTGCTTTTACCTGGCTGCATACACTCCTTACAGTGAGCGTACAGCAAGCCCACTGGTCTCTGGTAATCATGCCAGCACCCAGCCTGCCCAGAGTACGTGTCTTCAGAGCTACAAGGAACCTCTTCTCCACAGGATGCATATGTTAATACATTGTGCACGTGTGTAGTTTTAAGAAGACGTTCAGGCATGAGCTTGACTGACAGAGCTGACATACCTTTAATAAAAGGTGCTTATTCTGAGTGTGCTAAGCATCTGATTTGACCACAGTTTTCAGATCCTTCTGTGTTCCCATAATGAAGGCAGATGATCCAGTTCTCAGTGTCTTTGCCTGAAGAGATATAAATCATGTTTTAGGTACGATTTCTTCACACGTTGTGTCATTTGCTGAGCAATTAAGCATGTGCTATGGAAGCATTATTAAGTGAGCCAGGGCTGCAGAACGTAATGCAACTTCACAGCAAGAGATGACGATGCAATTCTCTAATACCTTAACATCATATCAAGTGGAACAGATGATGTAAAATCAATTCCATTCTAAATTGTGCTTTTGTCTGCAGTCATTTTAAACTTTAACTAAAAAAAGGAAGAAGGTGGGAAAGATACCAATAGCTCATAAGTAATCTCTAGACAACATGTTAAAGATTGATGGTAAGAGGCATTCTCACAAATTTGTATTTATATTAAAAAACCTTAAATGGATACATTACATAGACCATCGACTGTAACGGTTGAAAGTAAAATAAATGTGATGTGATGAATGATCTATTTTTTTGTCCATTAAACATCATCTTTGTGAGAAAAAAATGCTTTTAATTCTAAGCTACATATCTTAAGCAGTTCACACAAACCAACCATATCTTAACTGCACCAAGATCTACATACCTACATCCCAGAAACAAGCAATTACACAGAATTATAAACTATTCTCAGGTGAGTAATAAACCACTAGCTTTAAACAGAATGACACAGAGAAAAGATGCATCATGGACGCTTGGAAAAGTAACTGAACAGATTTGTCTGTGTGAAATTATACTTCTGTTGATAATTCAGTCTTGTCTTTCTCAGGATAAATTAAAAAGAAAAGAAAATAGAAGAAAAAAAGAGAGGTAAATGATGAAGGCCTGGTAGCCACAGAGAAGGCAGGTCACAAAGTAACTGACATCTGGTGGTTAGAACAGGCAGCTGAAGAAGGTGGACATGCAGAGGAAACAAAGGATTGCTCTTCATACATTAATTTCACAAGATTTTAATAAGATTTTAATAATGGATTTTGGACCTAAAGTTGGAACTATTCCACGCTGCAGCTCTGTGTCCCACTATCTAGCTCTCTATGTTCCTGACGCCTTTTCCACATACATGCTGTATGCCTCATATGGATACTTACTGAATTAGTGAGACATCCTCAGACTTAAGCTAAGCAAGAAATGTGCCTTGCTGCATGACTGCAAATTGCAGTGGGAAGGAAGAGAGCCCAACAGGTCACACCAGCAGCAGGGAGCAGGCTCCTGGTTGCACAAAGACTTGTGCTATTTATCACGATGACACCTAGGAAGGGGATGGTGCAATGCAGAGCTCTAGGTTTTACCTTTCACCCCTGCCACTGACCTCAAGCAAGCAGGGTGATAACTGCTCAGCCTCTCCATTTACCCCTCTAAATTACAGTGCACTCAGTAATATGTCGGCTGGAGGCTCTCAGGCTAAACTCGTATGAACCAATTTTGATTCCTTCCATCAAGCATCTCATTAAGCGCAAAGCGCCTCTGGGGAAAGGCAGCCGATTAAACAGATTCCTCCGTGACATAATGAATTTACAAAACCCCTCCAGTTTCGCTGGGAGATGTTTGGGGAAAAATACGTTCAAGCCACTGGAGGCAAAGTCCACAGGGAGGGAGGATTGCTCCATTTCCTCCACCTTGGGGCCTGGAAAGCCTTCTCCACGTGAACTGGGGCTGAGTGGCCCACTGTGCACACCCCAAAACACACAGGTCACAGCCCCACGCTGCGCTGGGTAGACAGAGCCCAGCTCCACCAGCTTTCCCACCCAGCTCTAGCATGCAGGCCCGAGGCAGAACTCCTCTGGACGGACTCCGCTCACACAGCAGGCCTGGCCGCAGCACGAGGAAGAAGCGCGAGCCATTTTCCAGCATTCGGATCCCGTTTATCGTGTGACTCAGCTCTGCAGAGTCCATAAGGATGACACGAGCTGCGCTTCATTAGCGGTTAGGTTAATGTTTGGAAATAAAAAGACTGATGGTTTTATCTGTTTGATGATTTGGTGCTGCCAAAAGCGACCATAAGCACAGCTCAATGGTGCGTGAAGAGAGTACAGGCTGACATTCATTTCCCATCACTAGGATCCAAACATTAGCACACAAGTGGTGCAGCAGGCTGGCGGGGGCAGGCAGCCAGCGTCGCAGCTATTGGCGTGACTCAACGATAATCATTTTCCTTCATGGAGATCTTAAGCTCTCTGCAATGGAAGGAAATAGGGATGGGTGAGGTGGGGTAATTTTGAAGCCTGGCAGCTCATCTGTGTTTGCCCAGCTTTCCTGTGCCCTCAGCTGAACCGCACCACAGAGCGGAGGACTAAAAGACTTTTCATTTTTTCCTATTATCACTTCACCTGCGTGGGTGTCCTCTCTCATTTTTTTTTTTTTATTTCTAATTTTCAATCCCCTCCTCCCAGGTACATTCTTCAGAACGCAATAGCTGCAATGCAGGCTCACCGCAGGCAGAGATACTGACCTGCCATATGCAGCCAGCAGCAAATACAGCAATTCATCACCACAAAGCGGTCGGCTGGATGGATCCTGCGGTCAGCTGGCACTGAGACAACGTGGGGTCTGGCACGTGCCATCAGCACAGAGTAAGAGACAACAGGAGTCAGTGGACACATGGATGCTGTCTTCACAGAAAACAGCTTCATCAGCCAGTGCTTATTGCCATTTATCACAGAATAAGCAAAACTGTTAGACTTACTGATGCTTGGAAATGTACAGAGAGCAGAGTTTGGCCATTTTTGGCTGAGTTACACAGAACACATCTCCTTCCGTATAGAGTCAAAAGAGAAAAAGACCACTAAACTACTCACAAGCAGAGCTTGCTGGGATGTGCAAACACGCATCTCGCTGACTTCTGGGAAGACACATGGCTGTGTGCACTGTGGTCCAGCTGGCCCAACAATTCCAACCAGTAAATACTGCGCAGTTGTGTGAGTGCTGCACAGCTTGCAATAAGCCACATAAAAGTGCTATTTGTGAAAGCTCCTCAGGCAGCCCCACAGCCTGGTACACAAGGCAGAGCTTCTGCAGGCCTGAAACACCAGGACTCCGAGAGCTCTTGCAATTGTCCTGCATCTTATTTGTTTATCCTGCTCTTGATTCTATTGGCATCTACTATTTCCAGTCAAAAGTGCAGTAGCAGCAGCTCCTGTTCTTGATCACCTTCCCATATGTCTGAGATACTCCTAAGAGAGAAAATGCTGTCAAGTGTTACCCGTGACTTTAACATTCCAGGTCAACACTTCAAATCCTTTTTCCTCTACAGAGCTACCCTGTTTGCAGCATAAAAAAATAAGCAAAGCTTGAGCTCTTCCTACTCCCCCTGCCTTTTCTCATATACCTAACAGAAAAATAGCTAGAGCACAACTCCCACACATTGCACAAGATCCAAACTCCAACAGCCCTAAACAGGCTTCTTCCTGTCCTAAGTCTATGCTAGAACTAGTCAAAAATTAACACTTGCAAGATTATAATGTCTTCAAAGCAGAGAAAGTAGAAGAAAATCCAAACCCATTCCAAGCTGAATGCACTAAAAACGCATTCCACTTTCACAACTAACAGAACTCCACAACACAAAGCTCTGCACTTAAGCACCTCACTCACCTCCTTAACCCCAGCCCCAAGGCCACCTCCACTCAGCAGCTATGTACTTTCCCTCCAGCTTCACATCTGCAGCCTTGCCATCTTAATGAGAAACCTTTGCCAGCTGGATCCAGCTCCCAGAGCAATCTCTGTAATGAGGACAAGCACCTGGGGACCTATCTGGCTCAGGAGGAGAATTTAGTTTGTTTTTCCAATCCGCTGTATTGCAGAGTTCTCTGAGGCCATGATAAGCAAATGCCAGACCACCTGGCAGCAAAAACAGATAAGGAAGGGACTATGGAAGAGCAGATGAGTGGGAGGAAAGAGTTAATTGGTCCTTGGATCCAAGCATTCAGCTTTGATACCAAGCTTGGAAGAGGGTGCAGGTGTCTGTTCGGTGAAACTGTTTGGTTGTATAGCTTTGTTTCACCATTACATGTTTTTTAATACTTTTGTTTGCTGTATTTCAGTCACAGCTAGTTAGGGAGACTTCACTTTCTTGTGAAGTTACTGTTCAGCCAAAGCCCAACTTTAAAAATATATTTTCTAAATATGTGCCGTTTACTTTTGTCCTCAGTAGCTTGATTGGCAGAAATAAGAGCTGCAAAAGCAGATCTTGTCAGTCATTCTTAAGCTTTCTTTAATATGGAAACAATTACCTGCGATTTGAACTGCATTTTTAAAGTGGCATGGTGAGCTAAATGACATGCACATACTTGAAAGTTTCAACCTCTTATTGTTTTCTAATGAAAACTTATTTACTTGTGGAGATTGCACAGGTGACATAGCCAACCTTTCCAGGTGGCCCCTGAAAAAGCACCCAGGCCAGTTTTCCATCATTTTCTGTAAGCATGCTGTGTGTTTTTGTACATGTATTTACCATTCTGTAGACACTCATTTGTGCAGCTTTGAACATCTGTCCTACGAAATCCAAAGGGCGAGCGTATACTCATGTGCAGAGAAGGCAATGCATAGTGCCTTGTAGCTGCTGGAAGTGGAAGGCACAGGGGTTTTGCTCTATGTCGTGTCACATTGGCACTGTCCCACAAGGTGCCAGTTGCCCCTGCATGCTGGCTCTATGGAATTCAAGATATTTTGCTCAGAAGATGAAATTGAAATGATAAGGAGAAATCTGATTGCAGCTGCTCTCACTTCTGTGGTAACATGTGTGCAGTACAGCAAAGCAACAAGGAACAGCGTTGTCCTTGCTCATGACACATGCAACATGGATAGGATCTGAGCATGTCAGCGAGCAGGCTTTTCTAGTTATTTTTTACTTTTAGGCTTAGGTTTAGGAAGTGCAGCAGAGGATAAGTATTTATTCACGTACAGTCATCACTTTTGTATTGTGGGCACATACCCTACTTTGGGGAGTGCCTGCTCATTTAAACCCTGACTTTCTGAAGCAGAGAGCACCTGTGACACAAGCTGTACTCCCTGAGACAGAGAGACACTCAGCAGCTTTAAAAAAAAGACCAAGAAAGCTTGCTGCCGGAGTCCTAAATTACATTTGAAAGTGACCCCACAGTAAGTGAAATGTTTGTTTTCCATTAAAAGGCTTCATACACATTAAACTGGAATTATGCTATGGTAAACTTATTTACAGAGTTTCTGGGACAGAGCATCCACCTTATCACCAGAAGGTCTGGATTGTGACCCCAAGCACAGACTTGGTGCCAGGTATAGCACAGTGTTTGTGCTCTGTTGCAAACGCCATTTTGCAAAGGAATGTGTTGGTTTATGGGATACAAGTATAAAGCACAGAGCTAAGTTGAGATGCATTTGCCATTGCTGAGAAAGGAAACAATTATGCTATTTGCTTGGCTTCCAAGATGTGGATAGCAAATGTCTTTCTCACCTCATAGAGGAAAAAAAAATCACACCCAATATGGTTAAGGTGCACTTTTTACATGGCAACCTTGGAATCTGAACACTTTTCTTTTTGTTACTTAAAAAATACACACACACACACACACACACACACACATATATATATGATTTATCCCTTAGAGATGCCTCATGCATGAACATCTTGGGTTGTTTCCTATAAGATGGCAGAGCTCATAAATAAAAGGAATAGGCAGAGCAGCAGAAGTGAAACTAATTTCAAGCAGGCTTTTAGAGGAATTGATTTAGCTGCAGTCTGGACGCGATACTTGGCCACAGTGTGAAAAAAAATGCCTTAGAGAGAGAAGGGCTAGTCCTGTCTCCAAGGGCTTGGCAATTGTTCCTAGGGGTTCTGGGCACCTGCAGGGAGCTCTTCTGGGAGTATGTGACCTCTAATACCCCTTTGGCTGCTGCTTTCCTTATTGCAGAGAACATGGCTGCAACTGAGATCACCATTTCCTAAGCTCAGATACACCTTCTGGAAAGCCAGCAGCCAATTAAGGCTTTTGATGTTTATGTCCAGTGACCAAAGGCTGGGCTTTGAGAGGAGCACAGCAGGTGTTTTCATTGGGAATGGCCCAGAGTTGCTGCTTTTGACTCACCGTGTGATGCTGTTGTGGACCCTCCCTCCACTTTTCAGCCACTTGATGCCATGATGTAAATTCTGTGAGGTCCTCATGGTGGTGGTGTCCACCGACTCCGACTGCTGGCTCTTCAGCACAGCTGCACATGCCCGTGTCGAGTTCCCCTCTTCCCCTTGGCTTCCGTGGCAGCAACCTGTGCCCCCGCACCGGGTCTTGGCTGCAGTCCCTCACAGTAACACAATCCACAGAGGGAACATTAGAAGGTGTTTTCTGGGCCAAGGATTTTCCCCTGACAGGTTTCAGAAAGGCCTCTCTCCTCCTCGCTGCTCTTGTGTTACTCCAACCCACCTTTGCAGCCCTAGAGTGTCCTGGTGTTACCTAGCAGTCCCCAGCCTGGGTATGTTTCATCCTCACTGTGCTACTCTGATCAATCAGAGCAAATCAACAGCAGATGGGGGCACGATGCCATGAGGGCTGGAGGTTCATGTCCCACCCCTGGCTGCTTGCTGGGCAAAGCCCTCCTCAGCCTGTGCTGTTTTTTTAGCAGCTCCCTTCTGACTGCCATGGCGCTGCTGAAAGGGTTGAAAACAGCTCTATAGCTTCAGACACACAGAAATCCTGAGCCTAGAATTGTCTAAGTTGAAAGGGACCTTTAAAGGTCATCCAGTCTAGCTCCCCTGCAATAAACGAGGACACCCACAGTTAGATCATGTTGCTCAGAGCCCCTCCAGCCTGACCTTGAATGACTCCAGGGACAGGACATCCACCACCTCTCCAGGCAGCCTATGCCAGTGTCTCAACACCCTTATTGTAAAGGAAACTTCTTCCTTATAGCCAGTCTAAATCTCCCCTCTTTTAGTTTGAAACCTTTTCCCCTTGTCCTATCACAGCAGACCATGATAAAGAGTCTGCCCCCTTCTTTCTTGTAGCCCTGGCCTGGCTTGCCATGTAACAGCTGCCACCTGCTGGGGGTGGGACTGGATGGTGAGCATATCCCTCCCGGACAAGGCAGAGCAGTGCCCTGGCTGGTTTGGAGTGTGAAAGTGATGGTGTCAATGACTGGCCCCAGGGCATGAAGGTGGCAGTGGCCATGACTCACCTGGGGTGAGACACAGCCCTGATTTCCTCTCCAAAGTCTTGTGTTGAGCACAGCTCTGTTGGGGCAGGGGCCAGTGCCAGGGGATTTCACATGCAATATGAACTGCTCCAAAAGGCATGCTGTGGGTTAGTTAAGGACATACTTTCAGCCTTAATTCTGAGTTTCCTAGGTTTTGTCAGTTTCAGCCAGATCCCTAATGTTATTTTAATGCAGTTGTTTTGTGTGTGAATAATATGCTTTTGACGCCAAACCACAAGCCCTGGAACCAATATCTCATAAAAATGCCTAGAGTCCAAAGCTAATAGCTGTTACTCAGCTGATCAAGTGATGCCTAAAAAGTTACAGGTTAATGCTATTCCCCAGGGGAAGGAAACATTAAGTCTGCTGGGGCTGGGTGCTCTCGTGCAGTGTCTGACCAGGGGCTGGGTGCAGCTCATAGTGGGCCTGGGGCACCCTGTGGAATGGCTCAGCAGGCTCCACCTGGGCTCCCTGAGGGCAGAGGTGGAGGTAAGGGTGTTAATGAGTTTTTCCATAAAGACACCTGGATAAGGACGTCCCAGCAACACTCCACCCAACGATGGGTCACTGCAGCTCACTCTCTCCCAGCCCTGCTGCTGTGGGCTATAATTCTAAGGGACAGCATTTATGTGGGGGTGCCTGGCAGGCAACATTGGCACGATGGTAGATGTGGTGATGTTAGATCCCAGGGTGCTACTCCATTCTTCAAATGGGGCAATGAGGAGAGGGAATAAGAAGTGGGGGTAAAGCTGTCCCTGTGTGCTTACCTTCACTTCAGGCTGGGAAATTAAGCCACAGGATGTCAGTGCAGCCTGTGCGAATGCCAAGCTTTCTGAAAGAAGTGACTATCTATCTTTTTTCAAGAGCATGTTCTTTCCCAGAATATCTTATTTAGGAAACTCACATCACGGTGGCAAAGTTAAGTAGAATGCTTATTAGGGAATAAGAAAATGAGATGTGGCCTGAAGTCACTGCCTGCATGCAGACACCACAGCACAGAGCTGGAGGGCACACCAGAGGCAGTTGCTTATCCTCAGTGCTGGATGGGCTGGAGGCCCAGACAGCTGCTGTTTGCTGCCTGCATCCTCAGATACTCACTGCAGAGTTGTAAGATATCGATTATTTTCCTGTTACAACACAGAAGGATTAGCTAGATCACCTTCTGCAGTGGTGAGAAAGAAATGTGTCGTGTAGACTGTTTGTTTTGCACTTCTTGGATTCACACCCTCTTTCTGAATCAATCTTGTTTTACTCTAGCTCTTGTGGTTTTTCATGGGCATGAATGCTGAGGAGCTCTTCCCAGGGCAAGCAAGTGATCACTGGTGGAGAAAGCAAAGGGATAGCGCTGCTGTCACCTGAAGGGCAGGCAGCCTGCAAATACAGTGGCCAAGGAAGCTGTCATAGAATCATTAAGGTTGGAAGAGACCACTGAGATCATCTCATCCAACCATCAGTGGTCATGTCCCAGCTAACGCTTCCCTATCACAGACAGCTTTTGGCAGGATGAGGTAAAGCCCCTCTTTGCACAGAGAGATCTAAGCTTTTCATTCCTTCTGCACACAAATTTCACACCTGCTCTGGGCAACCTGCCCAGAATGTGGTGGTGGTGCTTGTCAGAAAGCAGTGTGTATTGGTCTCCATTCAGCAGTGAGCT